TCCGGTCCATGAGACACAGACAGTAGCCACACACTAGATTACCATGGGGGTATTTAAAAATACCCCGAAAAAACCAAAAAGCAGAAGAAAAGTAATGAAACTGACAGCCATAAATCTTCACGTCTGGCTACTAAGCAGAGAAGTGCTGACAATTCAAGCTGCATAAAGCAGAAAAAGGTGCAGTTGCACCATCACTTCCCATGACCCACCTACATTTTCACCTCCCGTTTCAGGCCGCCAGGCCCAGGCCCCGAGTCCTGCCTTGTGTGGGGGGCTCGGGAAAACGAAACCCGCGGCACTCACAACCCTGCAGCCCAGGAGGGCACAACCAAGCCCTGCCAAACAAACTGGGTTCTCCTTCATGGTCTTTATCACGGGTGATTTTTAGCTGCTTTCAGCCGCATTTAAACTGAGCCCGTGTCCCTAAGGCTGACACAAGGCAGAAAGGCCTCACCGGCGGGGTGTGTGTGTTCATTATATGGACCCCAGAAGTGCGGGCAAAACTTAAAAAAAAAATAATAATTTTTAAAAATAAATAAAATGAGAGATAAGACGTGGCGCAGGCGGCAGCCGGGAGCCTCCAGCCAGGCCGGGCTCACAGGGAGCCTCCGCCCCAAGGGAGCGCAGCCGGCCCGGCCGCGCCGCCTCCCCGCCATCCCCACCGGGCCGCCCCGGGTCGCCCCATCCCGCCCCTCCGCATCCCACCCGTGCTCCCGGCCGGCCCCGCACACGCACCTGCGGCGGGCGGAGAAGAGGGTCCCGGGTGCCGCCGCCGCGGGACGGACGAGCAGGAAGCGGCTGCGCAGCGTCCGGCGGGAGGGGCCGGGCCGGGCCGGGCCGAGTCCCGCTCCTGCCCCCGGGCGGCGGGAGGCCGCGGGACCGGGCAGTGCCTGGGAACGCACACGGGAGCGGCAGGACCTCGGCTGAAGGGGTTTTACTTTCACAGAATCGATTAGGTTGGAAAAGACCTCGAAATCACGGAGTCGAACCTGTGACCGAACACCACCTTGTCAACTAGACCATGGCACTGAGTGACACGTCCAGTATCTCCTTAAACACCTCCAGGGGCGGTGACTCCACCACCTCCCTAGGCAGCCCATTCCAATGTCTGATCACTCTTTCAGTGAAAATATTCTTCCTCATGTCCCACCTAATCCCTCCCCGGTGCAGCTTAAGACTATGTCCTCTTGTCCCATCACTAGTTCCCTGGGAGAAGAGGCCGACTCCCACTTCGCTACAATCTCCTTTCAGGTAGTTGTAGAGGGCGTTAAGGTCACCCTGCTTGTTGTTAGAGTCCTTTTCCATTTTTGGGAACAAACACACGATAAGATGATGAAAGATAAAAACTAACACATATTTATTAAATGCTTTTACAAACGATCAGTATAACAGTTCCATGTTTACAAAACAGTGATTGGGCAGGTAAAGTGCTGCAGAATACTTAAATAAAGACATTTTGTAATTCTCCAGTTTCTGGTTGCCCGGGCGGGGGTTACTCACAGACTGTGACGCTGCTTGTGTGCTGAGAATGAACGTGAAGACCACAGGGACTTTGTTCAGAAGGCTGGGACAGCCTGGAAAAAGCCCAGAACGAACACAGAACAAGTAGAACGAGTACCTCTTCAGATCCTATCACTTTGGGTTGCAATAATTTACTCTCCTTTGCATAGAATAGTAATTTTTTTCCTGAACAAATGGAAGAGTGGTCAGTAGGTGTGTGATGCCTACACATGGAAACCCCATGTGCTGAAAACAGGTGCTTTTGCACTGGATTTGACACACCTATGGCCATCGATCAGATGGTGATCCCTCTTCCTGTCTCTCACATGTACTGACACAAGGGGAAATTTTCCGAGTATGAAGGACTGCACTGCATCCCACAGATGCTGCCCTGCCACATGTCGTTTTCTCCCAGTCAGGATGCATGAAGAAGCCACTGCAAGGTAGGGCAGCGTGAGCACTTCACTGCCAGGTAAGAGCAGACCACGTAAAACAAGCAGTACCGATCCCACGGCAACATTACACGCTGTGTTACCGCACAGCACTTGCTCACACTATGCCCTCCACGCTGCCTCTAGGCCTTTTGACTGGAAATCGCATGCAAGCAGGCTTTCCCTGGAAAAACTGAGTATTTCAAAGTGATTTACTACCTCATACTCACTTGTCTGTCTTTCTGCCCTTGTATTCAGTTTGGAAGATGAGAAGGTGATGACGGTGCTAGGTAGGAAAGATGCTGTGGACCATTGTGACAGGAATTTTTTAAGGAACTGCTATTTTGTGGTTGCTGCTAGAATACAGCAAAATGAAGGTTTCTCAAGGGATTTCCAACTGAAGGCAGTGTACAAGGTATCCAAAAAGGAGAGAAACGTTTTCTTTGTGTTTTGCTGTCGAACTGCTGGCAGTGGAATGTATCGTATCCGAGCAAAGTGTTTCTTACATGCATTTTTTTGGGAAGGAAGCGATCATTTCCTGCAGAAAATGAGGCATCTTTTCACTACCTGAGGAAGAATATTAGATGTTACAGAATTACCTCCTTCCCATTACACAAAATTTAGGGGCTTGAATGTAACCAACTACCACAAGAGTAGAAAAATACAATTCTAAAGACACTCAAATAAGCAACTATGTCCCTAATGAATGATTTTCTTTTCAAGTTTTGCTTTCTTTTTTCTTTCTGGGAAAAAGTGAGACTTGTATCAGAGAAAAATCAATCTATTTACCTGTCTTGAAACCAGAAAATGGGTAATTTACAAAAAGTCTGAGAATATCCTCCAACTGTTTTTCCTCCTGATCTAATCTATTATTCTAGAAGAGTGCCCCTGTGTTACGTACTTCTATAACCACAAGTATTCTTCATAAAACAACAATAAAGTGCACACTGTTATAAAGCCACCATTGACAGCCAGTTAGTCTGTCCCGTCAATCCGCTCCAGAAAAAGCCTGTGAAAGACTGCTCCCTCCCTCACACCTCTCTGTCTCGCAGCCTGTTTCCCCTCCTGGCACCAATACTCCTGGATAAAGAAGCACACAGTTGTTCAGGTGTCCTACAAAGTTCCATCAGCAACTTTTATTTGTACTCCTCTAACTATATAGATTGTCCTAAACATGCAGCAACGAAATGAGGCTTTTGAGTCATCCAAGAAATTTAAATGGTCTTTAAATTCACTAAATTTTCCAGCAAAAGCTTCTTTTAATTTTGGCTGGGTTTTTTTTTGTGGTTTTTTTGTTTTGTTTTGTTTTTTTTCAAATGAGAAGGACAGGCTGGGGAAAGCTAAAAAGGAAACTTAGCAACCAATGCTGTGGAACTGATGTGGGCCATGGTTGTTAATGATTTCCATAAACTCAGATGTTAAGATAATGCAATGTGTTAACCCAGATGTTAAGATACTGTAGTTTTGAAAGCTGCATCTTGTAGGATCTATATCCAGCATCCACTTATTTCATAATGTATTTGTTAATGAAGGCACAGGCTTACCTTTCTACTGGTAAAGGACAGCAGACACGGTCAATATGCATTACTGACAGAAAAGCACAAGCAACGATAAAGCTAGTGACAAAAATTCTCAGCATCTTTCTTTTCACTATACTCTTTTTGGCCTTCTGCCTATTTTTTTATCTCAAAAGGAAGAAAAAATACAAAATGAAGTTAACTTTAACCACAGGTTTACCTACACACATATGTTAGTGGAAGATTTTTTATCATCTGTTGCTGTACTTTTTGAGGGTCCTAGATGACAGTATTCACCTCTTCAAATGCCAGCAAATGGAAATTTACTTAAGTAGTAGTAGCAGCTGACATGGTCCCTCAACTTCGCTAATGGTTTACATCACATTAAAAAAACTAGCTTTACTTCTTCCTATTCTTGGATTACTATTGCTTGGTATTGCAACTCAGTTTTGTTACAGGTGAACAAAAAAGCCCTAAAAAAATAAGTTATCTGCTTAAGATCCCATGCCACTTACTCAGCATGGGTGGACTTGAAACTGGCAAACGATTTAAACAAATTCTTTTTTGTTTTAAATTACATGCCAAGAAGAAGATTCTGAGTGTCTTCTCTAGCAAATGACCTTACCAAATATTTTAAGTACCTTAAAATATTCAGATTGCAACACAACTTTTGTTGCAAGTGGCAGCAGCTATCCTGGGAAAAAAAATCAAATCAAAACCTACAGAATCTTGAATTAAAGAAGTGGCACCTAAAAAAGCCTTTATGCTTTTTTTAACCTTTAACCTTACTCTGAACAATAACTACCCTCACCTGCTCCCATAAAGGTTGTTCAGTTTACACAATATTAACTTTTAAATATAAAAATTCATTGGCTGACTTCACATGGGCAATACTGCCACGGACCAGACTCCATCAAGGAACACAGCAGGTGGTCAGTCAAATAACATGCCACTTTACAACTCTACAAGCCTATAACAGCAAAAAACTTGGAAATGCATCACCACATCCAAAATAATTCAAAGGCTTTAAGTATGAAATCAAGTTTTCTTTTATAGTGTTGCATACATATTTAAACTAGAGTTGTGCTGGTTAATGTGTTTCATATATAGTAGATGCACTACACATAATCCTAACTGCAGGGATCCATACTTTTTGGTATGATTGAAGGAGGTGAGATGTAGTTAATCTCATTGCAGTCCTCTGATAACTTGCCCTCACTATGCGAGTCATTAGTTGTATTACAGGATTGGCAAACAAGAGTAAATAAATTGATGTTGAAAATTTGGCTCAGGACCCCAAAATAAATGGTTGTCAAAAAGATAGGAAGAATCTCTCCTCAACTCTTTTGAACAACTGACCTCCAACACCCATCTGTAACCAAACAGTGGACAGATAATTCATTTCCATGCTATTACATTGAGGTATAACTACCAGAAACATTAAACTATCAGTATCATCTGATATTTATCCAGTTAATTCACTCTGCATAAGGGAAATTATAACAACACATCTAAAGGGATAGTTAAAGCTTACAGCTCAGAATTTTCCTCCTTTTTTTTTTTTTTTTGCATTTGATGATTTTTTTTGTGTTTTATGTTTAATTTCTTCTATGTTACCAGGTTAATGACTTCCAAGCAGATTTGAAAGAAAGCCTGAAGACTTTTTCTTTTCCTGGGATTCAGCTTCTTGGCCTTGTGAAAGTCCCAATTCTTTCTCAATCTGCTCTAGCTCAGACTGGTCAAGCAGTTCAAAATCATCAGCTTCCTCTGTGTCTGTCTCCTCGCTCAAACTGGGCGCTGCATTTGAGGGAGCTTGCAGTGTGGACTGCAACTGCTCTTTGATGGCAGCAGACACCGCGGCTGTGATGACATCACCAGCAATTCCACTCATTAAATTAAAGGTTTGGTCACTGGTCAAAGGCAAGGACAACCCTGCAGTGGGTGGTCTCTCTTTACTCTGTCTGGAAGCGTGATCCACCTTGAAATCTGTTTGCTCTTTTCTTCGTTTTTGATGGATGGGCATTCCGATGCTTGAGTCATCATCGTCATTTGTTCCGGCACCATTTTCTAAAGAAGGGAATTCTAAAAGATCTCTAGCAAAAGCTTCTTCATGATCACTAGGTCGGTCAAAATCTATTACAGGGTTAACAGAAGGAAATACAGTGTTAGCACTCACAAAAGATTTCCCAAAAAAATAGCCACATGTAAAAATGCAGTTAGTAAGTGTTCCTTTGAACACATTTACTAATCTATACTCTTGTAGTTTTCACAAGCAAAGGAGCTTTGTGTGACATCTAAAATAAAATGGTTTTGAGGTCGAAAAATAGTACCACAAATCACCTGATATCGACCTAACTCTTTGAACAAAATACCTTTTTAAAGTGGTATCTAGCTGTGAAACAACCCATGGAAATCTTTAGCACAGCTATTTCTAAATATACCAACCACATCAAGTCCTAAAATTTGTATTGCAACAACAGACCCCTAACTATTTTTCTTCACAATAAATTACAAGTACGTACTTTATGTATGGATGTGTTACAAGCTTTTAATATTCACTAGAATAATAAAAAACAATGTTTATGTGTTTAAATGAAGATATAAAACCAATGTAAAGACAATTTCTAACTTTTTTCCTTTCTTGGCCAATACTTGTATTAAATAGGAAACAGAAAATGGAAACTCTATAGATGATCAGGATTGTTTCAGGTTTTCAAGACAATAAAAAGCAGAATGTAAACAAATAAAACATTAAATTTTAATGGCTGCATTAATGACAAATATTTATTATTAGAAATGTGTAAAACATAGTGTGGAGTACATGGCCTGTGGAAGAGGCCTAAATGAGTACAAGGGAATACTTTGATCTAGTATTTGTATAAGAAGGTAAAAAATAATCAATTAGAACTTACTTTCTATGAAAAGCAATAGGAAATTGTTGTAGGACCATTTACAAGGCTAAGGAAATAAATCCTAAAAGTGTCTCATATGTTATTTTCTCCATTTTCTGTGGGAAAGACAGGTTGGGAAGGTGAGGAGGAAGGGTTGTGCTGTAGGCGGAGTGGTGGCTCAAATGCACAGAGCTTTGGAAGGAGATGAGCCAGTCCTCAGATGCAACCCATTTGGTCTTGTACTTTTGTGTATGTCCCATTTGCTGAAATATTCCATACAGGAGAAGAGTGGATGCTGTTTATTTTTCACTTAGCAAGGCCTTGAACACAGTTTCCCACATGATCCTTAAAGCCAAACTGGTGAGCAAATGGGGTAAGGGAACTGTAAGGTGGGTGGAAAACTGTCCGGACTGACAGGGTCAAAGGCTGTGATCAGCACTGTAAGGTGCAACTGGAGGCTGGTTATCAATGTCTGTCAAAGGTCCTGAAACAAACACTGTTCAATGTTTTTAATTAATGACTTGGATGACAGGACAGAATGTACTCTCTGCAAGTTCACAGCCAGAAAGCAACTGCTGTGGGGCAGGTGTATTTGATATTCTGGAGGTCAGGATGCCTTCAGAGGGACCTCAACAGGAGGAACAGGCTGAAAAGGAAGATCATGACATTCAGCAAAAGCAAATGTGAAGTCCTGCATCTGGGATGGAATAATCTGTACAGCAGTACAGGCTGGGGGCAACGAGACAGAAAGCAGCTTTCCAGAAAAAGACCTGTGGAGCTACAGTAGCAAAAATGAAGGCAGAAAGTCAATGGAAAGGATTTTCCCCCTCTATTCAGCAACTGAGAGTACACATTGATGTACTTTGTCCAGTTTTGACCTCTCCTGTCCAAGACAGACAGTGATAGACTGAGTCCCCTGAAGGGCCATCATGATTATTTAGGGGGCTGGAGAACAGGACGTATGAGTAGATGCTGAGGGAATAGGCCTTGTTTGGCCCTAAGAGTAGGTGGCAGAGGGGAAATCAGATAGTTTAACTACTGAATGGGAAGATATAGAGAAGATGGGCCTGAATCTTCTAGAAAGTGCACAGTGAAAGGATGAGAGTAAATTGATACAATCTGGAACATGGGAAATTTTGACTCACTATTAAAAATTTTTCATTGTGAGGGTGAGCAAATATTGAAAAAGGCAGTCCAGGGAGGTGCTGAATCTCTACCACTGAAGATGCTCAAATTTCAAACGGTCACAGCCCTGAGAAACTTCATAACGCTCTGAATAGAAGCTTTGAACCTGCTTTGAATAGGAGTTTAGATAAGATGAACAACAATTGCTCTTTACAACTTATGATTCTGTGATCGTACAATGCTGTCTATTTACAACTTGAAATATTAAAAAATAATTTAAATTACTAATTTGACATGTATAATGCCATTAAGTAGTATCACTCTTCTTGTCATTTACAGTGAACTTTTTCTAGGAGAAATGCAAGGTGAGCAGAGGACCAGATCCACAGATAAGAGTGGTGTATGTAACAACCAAACTACTGTTGTCTGTAATCTTTATTCAGGTAAAGTGCTAACTGATAGCTTGGACTGTAAAAAGTAAAAACTTTGATCTGGTCAAGATCAAGACAAGTGCTTGAGAATCTTTTCCTAGTCTTAGTCTTCATATCTAATTGAGGTTCATTGCTGGCTGTCTTCATTTGCATTCTAGTAATAAAATCTAATCATACTTTCCTTAATTGGCTGTTTAACAAGTCAAAGTATTCACTTTTTCTTTCTTAGCTTTTATTTGTTTAGCTTACCCACAGAAGCATTGGCACTAACTTAAAAGGTTTACTTGCTTAAAAGGTTTGGTGGAAGAGAGTGGTACATCTGGCAGCTATTGAGAGTGTTGGTCTTACTCAGCACTACTGGTTTATTTAGACACTTGCTGATGAACCTTATTATTTTTAAGATGAGGACAGTTCTTAAAAAAAATTTATCCAAAACTATACAAAACACTAAAATTAATCTTAAATTAATTTCAGGGTGGAAAGTAACAACTCATAAAACCTCTGTCCTCAAATTCTCTAATAATTTTCAGGTAACTTGCATGACTAGAATTCATTGATAAGACAGATGAAGCTATTACATACCATCAGATGTGTCTGTCTGTGGAGAATACCCCTCGGATAAGTTAAAGGTCCCATTATCGGTCCAAGATACTTCCGATACGTCTGTGTCAGACACTGACAGCTCTTTGGCAATGACTGCAGGACTAACCTACGTGGAAAAAAGTTCCATACATGGTATTCTTACATGCAAAAAGTTCACACTATAGGAAGCCAACGCTTAAGATACTGAAAAAAATCCCTCTTGTATGTCATAGCAATATAAATCACCTCCTATTTAAGCTTTATTTGTAAAAACATGAAAATAATGGTATACAATGCCTAGAAGTGAAGCATTCCTCTTTGTAATCACTGAAAGCTGTATTATACTAAAGAAGCATAAAAAATTCCAGTTATTCATTCTGACAGTAATATTCTACTGTAAGAAAAGCAGAATGAGCCTGCAAGTACAAAATATGCATAAATGTAAAGAAATAAGTAAACTTGGATCAAAAAAACCAGTCCATTATCTGTAAGACCATAAAAAATTAGTTAAATAAAAAAAATTATCCTTTACTAATTTATCCAACAATGTTCAATTATGTCAGCTACAAACATATCCCATGGGATTTTTTGTTTCCAGAATACAAAGCCACCTTCAGAGTGATCACTGTCAAAGTCAAGCTTTATACACTACTCATCAAATACTACATAATAATTTCCATTAAGATGAATTTTTTTATATGAACCAGTGTTCTGATTATAATAGAAAAACCTTTGCCATACAGTTATCTGGAGTACTAAGAGAAAAATGAGATATTTGAGTGTTCCAATACATATCTAGAAAGATATTTATAGATAATATACCTATTTACACTAGCATTGAAAATTATCAAACAAGTGATTACAAAAGTATCTGACAAATTATGTAGGGTTTCTATGAATGTTTCCCTTCTACATTTTAATTTGATAAACATTAACTGCAATTTCACTGTTTCAAATAAAAATAACCTCCTTTGCTATTAATTATTAAAATATTTTTATCATTCTACAGCCAATACAAAATAAACACATTCTTAGCTCAGTAGGCCATATTAAACCATTATCTTGAAGGCCAGAAGTCATAAATGCAGTAAGTCAGTTAGCATAAGCCTAAAGGTGGAGACTATGAATCACTTCTAAAACATACTGCTTGGTTCAGGAACACAGCCTTCTGGGCAGGTTAAAGTCTTCCACAGAAGAACAGAGACAGTAATCTAGATAGTCTCCCATTATCTATATTGATCTTAAAAGCAAGACAGGGATGACTGAAAGAAAGTCACCTTAGGACACAGAGCTGATATGTCTAATTCACTGTCATCTTCTGTGGGTTTTGTTTTTGCTGTTTCTGAAAGAAAAAAAATATATTTTTTATCCTACTCATGACAATGGATTTCCAGGTTCAGTGTGTGTTCTCTGTCACACAGCTTGTGTAGCACAATAACCTTCCACCTGCTGACGCAGCGCATCCTTAACGTAATATGCTACTTAGGTGAGGGAAACAAGGCCGACTGAAAGACTGGATGCTTATCAAAAGACATTGTGCAGCAGCCAAAGCAGGAGAGATAACGTTGCTCTGAAATGCATTCCAACAAATTTCTTTACCTGTATTGTACTTCCTTCAGGAGTGTCTGTTGCTCACCATAATGTTACCTGTCCTGGCAATAAACGTCTATCTTTTAAACTCCACTGCTGGTACAATGGACAGGTTAACATATTGCTAGAACAGGTTGTGTAGTTATCCCACCACATTACTTCTACATGAGAACATGCAATTTTCTGGATATTTGCATGTAATCTTCATCCACTAAACCCTTCTTCTTTGCACCCAGCTACCCTGCATTCACAGTCATATGCAAAAAACCCTCTGAAGTCTGGGAGAATGTTGCTCTTTGCAGATGAGCAGAGACACAAATCTCATCTCCTCTGTCTGGGAATCTGATATAAAACGGTTTTAAAAAGTCAGAGTATTCTTGGTTGCTTCTTTTTGCAACTTGCTTTTTCCTCTCTTGTGCCAGCACAAGGGCTTGTGAACCTATGTGGTGAACCCAAGTGCCAAAGCAAGGTAGGGGACCCTGACTGGATTAAATTAAACTGCAGGGCAAGATGCAGGAAAGAATGCATCTAACCTCAATCATTTTCCCAGTGCTGGCTTATGGAATTCATGAAACAAGTCTAATCTCTTCCTCTGCCAGTTTCATTTAAAAAAACTGAACAATGTAAAATAATACATGAAGGAAAATTTTCAATGCATTATTCCTTATTTCTGGCAACTACCGCATTACACATAAGGGAAGGGGAAAAGACAGACAGTGGTTCTCACTGGGTCTAGGAACAGCACATTGCATGGTGAATGGTTACAAGAAATGCATGTTTTAGAAGCAGATGTAAATTAACTAAAAAGGGTAGGCTACCTGTAAGTAATGGACTACATTACAAAGGTTTAATTACCAAACGTGGACAAAGAACCAAACTAAACATAATACTGTTCAGATACATATTTTTCTTGAAATAGCTTTATTGCTTAAAATCTGAAAGTTTCCAATGTTAGGAAAATAGTTGAAATTTTGTTTTAAATTGATTTCTCCCCTTTCCAACTAAAAATTTTTATTAACTTGTAGCAACTATCCTATGGCAGTTCTTAAATGCTTTTTGAGTATTTGGGGAAGAAAACAAATTCTTTCTGCTGTGGGGAGAGAAACCAAGGAGGATTAAGATACTGGAACAGAGTTTTGTCTCTTATTGAAAATTCTGTTATGCACTCATTTTGAGACCCTTAAGTGAGTCTCTCTCCTGGGTAAGTTTGCCTTATCTAAACAGTTACAAGCATTGCATGCTTACAGTAAGAAGTTTTTTCAGAAAACTTACAAGCAGTACATCTAATAAAGTATGAAGAGCTTGCCTTGCTTCTTTCCATGAAATAGTAATTTTTGTTATCATACCCAGACGTCTGACATACACTGTCACCCCTTATAAAGCTAATAACAGTACCAAGGTTAAAAGCAAGAAATATCTTTACAACTGGCTTCTCAGGACAAACCAAATTGTCTGCAAGATGAATAAAATTTTCTCCGCATACAGAAATACATTACTTGGGACCATAATTAATTACTCACCAAATCTCTCTTTTTTCTTCTGGTTGATATATTCCACTATTCCAAAATCTAGTTTCATCAGAACAGCCTTAATTTTGCTGTACACTTTCTGTCCAAATTCATTGCACTTAAGGAAGGGACACAAAAAGGCACACAATACTGTGACAAAAATGAAGACAGAGAAAAATTGCATTGAAGTATCACTGTATAAGAAGTTAATAAAGCTTAAACAATGCCTCTGCATATGATAACTACTAATTTTACATAATACAATTAGTTTACATAAAAATGTGCTGTGAAATGCCCATATCAGGCAAACTGTTAATGTCAAATTCAGTTTCCAAGAGCCATTCCTATCAATTGACATCTTTTTTATTTTCAGTAAGGTACAATTTATGATCATTATATCATTTATCATCATCTTGACTTAGCCTGATTTTGTTATCTTGACCTGAGAAAACAAGATTATGCAACATTGTGCCGGAATCAACACGCTGAAAAAAATAGTAAGCTGACTTCCTTATGACAAAATATTGTTAAAAGTTTCTTACTTATTTCTAATCTAAATTGACCCTCTTTTGGTTTAAACCCATTACCTCTTGTCCTAATGCAACAGGCCATGCTAAAATGTTTGTCCCCATCTTTCTTATATGCCCTCTCTAAGAACTGAAAGGCCACAAAAAGGTCTCCCTGGAGCCTTCTTTTCTCCAGGCTGAACAACCCCAACTCTCAGCCTGTCTTCACAGGAGAGTGCTCCAGCCCTCTGATTATCTTAGTGGCCTCCTTGGACTTGATCCAACATGTTCGTGTTTTTCTCGTCCTGGGGAGAACTGGATGCAGTACTCCAGGTAGAGCCTCACCAGAGCACAATAGAGTAGAGTGGAGTAGATCTCCTCCCGTGACCTGCTGGCCACGCGGCTTTTGATGCAGTCCAGGATACAACTGGCTTTCTGGGCTGTAAGTGCACATTGCTGGGTCATGTCCAGCCTCTCATCCACCAGCAACCCCAAGTCCTTCTCAGCAGGGCTGCTCTCAATCCGTTAATCCCCCAGCCTGTATTGATACTGGAGGCTGCCCTGGACCCAAGTGCAGCACCTCACACTTGGTCTTGTTGAACCTCATGAGGCTCCCATGGGCCCACTTCTCAAGCCTGTCCAGGTCCCTCTGGACAGCACCCTGTCCCACAGAGATTGGTGTTTTCTGGAAACTTGTATGTGTGTGTAAATAGATATAAATAAATAAATACTTCCTATATAGAGACCAAATAATGAAGAAACCACACACACAAATCATGACTGAAAAAGAGACTATACTTACACAAGACATAGGAGAGGACAACTCCAGGAATGTAACTTCCCAAGACAGTGAAAAATGTACATATGCTGCAGACTAGTAGGCAAAACTGGTAAAAACATTAAAATTGACCATTAACACATTCACTATTTAACTGTTTAGATAATTTTGTTAAAAAGAAAAATGTTGCATGCTAAATCATAACTAGAATGCAGTGCAAAATTGAAGTTTTTTCTTTTTAAACTGGGAATACTTTTAACGCTTCTGGTAAGAATAGGCATCAAACATTCCATTTTGGCTAATTAGGATGCATCCCCTCTTCTATTATAAAAACGTGCTATTTTTATGCATTTACTGTAAAGGTTTAACAAGCTCACAGTTATTGCTAAAATTATCAGAAATTACTTCAACTTCATTAGAAAAAGACAGACTGAACAGTTTTATATGCAGAAAAAACTACTCACTAATTGCAATATTACAATACATACTTACTGCATGCTTACAAAAGCAAAACATCCTTCCTATAGCTACAGTTCTCTCCCCTGTTGTGTTACTTCATGAAACTGTTTTCTTTCATATGCTGGCAAGCATTCTCTTGATGCCTGTTGGCTACTCTAGCATCCCTGTTAATGACAAGACTGAGCTGAATTTTAAATATAAAATTCGAGATTTGGTCTTTGTGGCGACTGAGACATACAGTGCATCTTTCACAACTGCACAATGCTGAGTACAGAATTGATCTGTTGGAAGTTTACAGATAGAATCCATTTGCTTTTGGAGCTAAAAGCAATAAAATGGCTATTTCAGAAAAATTTTGCACACAGCATCACTGCCTAATTTGCTTCTAATTATAGCAGTAAAATAATGACACGACTTAGAGAATGAGGTCAGGAAAAAGAAGGGAAAACATGCTGTCAAAATTAGCTTTTCTAAACCCATATTAGATATATCTTAACATACAGTTACTGTGTCATGTTACCACATGACAGAATTATGGGATTGATGCTGCATTTCCTTACTTCATTATATACATAATTCTTTTAAGTACATTTATTGTCCAAAGTATATTTATTTATATACTATTTATATACTTTTAAGTATATTTATTTATTTATTGTCCAAACATATAACTCCTCTTTGTATAATTTATTCATTTTTGAAAGATATTTCATCCTGTTACTCATCTGTATTTTCAGTCTAAACTGCTAATATTTGAGTGTGCTACTACATACATTCCATTTGCTTATTCTGAATGGCGTACTTTCAGGGAAGATTTTGCGGTAAAATTAACCAAGATTAAAAGAGGAGAAAAAGCCTCCTATTCTCCTTTTAACTTGTATTTAGCAATACAAATATAAAAATGAAACCTACTATTGCCCTAATGTACTTCTACATTATTTATATCATTCTTTGGGAAAAAAAAAAATCTGCTTCACTTTTGACTAGAACTAAATAATGATATTCTTCCAAGTTGGAAGGAAAAAACCTTATTCTTGCTTGCCTCTTCATGAACAGGGTTCTCCAGCTCAGTCTTTCCAGTAAAAAAAAGGAAAACCACCAACTATAAGTGCATAGAAGAAAAATTATCACAATAAAATATGAGGAACTCTCTTCTTACATTAAATACTTGTGCAGCTATTCCTGAAGACTACAGTTATTTGAGGGGAAAAAAACCGTTTATGTTCATGTACATGCCTATATGACTTTTTTCTTTTTAAAGTTTTTATTAAATTGTTATGTTTTAAATTTCCTTTAAAAAGTCCATGGAATAACTGGTGAAGTTCCAACAGCTGTTCGGGAAAGGACTGTATTGCTATAAATTTTACTGTGAACAGCTTTTCTCACTGACTCCCTACCCATGCTCTCCACAGCACAAAAAAGTTAGGAGAAACTCATGACTTAATGTATCAGAATGTGCATTTTTTTTTCCATTTTTCTGCTAGCTGGTTTGTTTGTTTTTTTAAAATTTATCTCACCTTTTTATTAAACCATATAGAACTGTTAATCTCACTTGGGAGTGCTTACCTTGCCAGGGTTTTGTTCCTTAAAGTGCGACATTTCTTGAAGAAATACAAATAAATTCATCAGTGTTTCTGAAATGCACTGATTTATTCTCGGTTTGTAGTCTTGCCTGGAATCGATGACTTTCCAGCTGAGTAAAACAAACAAAAATACCCAACTTTGTTTACAGCTCATATGAAAGTTGAAACTGATTGAAAACACCATGTTGTAAAGCCATAGCCTCTGGCAATCCAATGGCTGCTGCTATGCTAGAGACACCTGTGCTTGTTTAAACATATTTTATATAAGGCTAATTTGACTTTTTTAAGCTAAAAAAAAAAATAATCTGTTCAGTAATAGCAATTCTCAGTCCATACAAGCAATTACCAAAGAAATGACTGCTTATTCATCATGGCCATACAAAGACACCGAGTTCAAGGGGTTGTCATCTAAATTAAGCAAATGAACCCCAAACTTGTTTTTTAATATTATTTTTTCTTTAAAAAATATACCACAGTATTTTCATTGCCAAAGGATAGCCATACATATTAACACATTTAATTTCATGCATATAATCCTTTTGCTTTTTCTTTTCTATTTTTGTCTTGCTCTGCAAACTATCATGATGAAATTGTTATCCAACCTAGAAAAAAAAATTGCTCTTGAAGTCTTGATTATGTTCCTTACTGAATTTTAATTTTTCTATTTTATTGAAAGGACTGTTTCTAAAGCTTATCTTATGACTGTTCAGTACTTTTAATAAAATAACACTCCCCTCCTCCCCAAAAACTGTACTGAAGAATTTGCTGAAACCCATTTGAAAGCATATGTATCTATCATATTTGGGGCTGATAAGTTTAGACAATACCCAGTTTAAATGGTCACATTGTATACCTTTGTGGAGTAGACAAAACAACTACAACAAAGATGTTTATGAAACAACAAATGAAAAGAAAAACATAGGCCAGTCAGTGTCAAATCAAACTAGTACAAAGTACAGATGAACCACTGTGCAACCACTGAGAATCTGAAATAAATTCTACACCAGTTGTCTTTTGCATAATGTACTGCTGAGTACACACAGCTTCAATTCCAGTAAATGCAAGTCAGCCATGAACTACCCCAGCTATTTTATGGGATACATAACCCATTACATGTCCCGTGCATCACTGCCTTAAAAGTAAACATTTTGTGATGGGTGGATTGAATTACAACATAAATCAAAATCTAAATAATGGAAAAAACAGCCGTACAATTGTTGGTGCAGCAATAACACCACATTCACAGTCTGTCAGATCAAACTGCCGACTCCTATCAGATACACAATCTCCGCAGCCTTATTTTTGTAAAAAGTCAGAGCAATTTCAGTCAAAAATGCCTAGTTACACACCCACGGAACCCCTTCCCCTTTCTCATGGCTGTATTCGGTTCGCCACCAGGTGGTGACACAGCAGCGCCAGGACCAGCGCAGGGATCTTCGTCACGTGGGACAGGAGCAGCGCAGGGGGGTCACAGCATCACTGCCCAGGGCACCGTGACCTACAGAAAAACTGCTACTTCAAACACGGGATAAAACTCACTGAAGTCCAAAACTCAAATCAGTGGCTTACTCCTGACTGTATTTTACTATTTATTGAGCTGCAGTGGTGTGATTTCTTCTTACATTACAAAACATTCAGGGTGCAAGATTTTTTTCCCCATTTTGAGAATCAACAATGAACTATTTAAAATAGTGTACCTGAAATGAATAGGGTGACAACCCCATGTCTTGGACTAGGTGACTTTTGCAATTTCCCAGCTATGCATGGCACTGCATGCAAGTATTTGCCCCTGACAGAGGATGTAAATAAAACCATAAAGGAACTCATGGAGATCACTGCAGGAACCCAGCTAAAAGGGATCAGCACAGTTACACAGAACTTTATATCTGTGTCCCATCCACAACAGAGATTTCAATGTCCATCATCACTGACACTTAGTTGCTTGAGAAAAGTAGCATACAAGGGTTTTGTCTTACAGGAACTGCAATTTTTATTATAGGATAGGCTACTCCCCTTAAAGAAGCACTCTTCTAGCTTTTGTAAACCATTCTGCACCATTAATCAGTATTTCAAGAGCTGCCTGTTTATTCCAGTCTTGAAAACCTATTATGACAGTATTCTGAATTACAAAATCCTTTTACAGATTTTTACTCCTACCCTTTATTTAAAATGGTTGGCAATTGAAGTTAAGCTTAGTGGAAGCACAGAGCAAAACAGATAGGCCTGATGCCTACTATCAAATCAGAGCTTTGAAATATTTAGGACATTTGTAGATAGTAATTTTACTAATTTTAAGTTAATAGCAAAAACAGAGGGAGAGAAGATGAAAGCATAAACTACAATAATAATGCAAACTATTTCCATATATGCTAACCACTAATATAAAGATAATATAGATTAGAGAGGAGAAGGTGTAATAAGGCACAGTGGGATAACTAGTAACAATTCAAAATAAAAACACAAATTATGCAGAAAAATGGCACATTTGTACAGAAAGTACTCTGGAGTTGCTTTGCTTGTTGTTAGTAGTGCTTTCTTTAGTCAAGGTATTGAAAGTATGAGCTGAAATTCAGATTAAATTTAAACTAAAACCCTGCATGTTTTGGTTCTGTAGTCCACATGTGGTGCATTGACAAGAAGACAAGCAAGAAGAGTGGATGGTACCGGTGAAGTTTGCTTAAAAATACTGCAAACCCTCAACTGAGCTCCACAAAAGAATACTTGGCAGGTTTTTTTAGGCCACAAGAAATCATAAGACATCTTTGTCATTTCTACTATAGCCACAGTTTTCTAATTTGCAGGGAACGCCAGGAACTATTCTGAAGCCTTATTCTGTTCTTACACAATTAGTGGTGTAAGAAAGTCAGCTTGCTGATCTTCAGTGTGACAATCAGATGCATGTGCTACCTCTTCTTGTTCACATCTCTCAACAACTACCAGCCCTGGTGACATCTTTCCCAGAGCCTACTTGAACTGCAGTGTTACCCGGAGACCAGAGGGTTTGAACAAGGGGAAACCAAGAGAGATCTTGGTGAAGGGGGAGTGAGAAAGAAAGGAGGTCCATCATATAACCGTCTGTACAACATATAGTGGTGTGTATACAAAGATAGAGAGGTTATGTCATGCCCCTGTATATTAGTGGAGTTAACTTACAGTACCCTAATAAATGACTTAAATGAGAACCCTATACTTCCTGCCAAAACAGCTTTTGGTACTCCTGTCCAGGTGCTCCTTTTGGGATATAAGCAGCCAACAGTCCCTGAAAACCTTAAAAGGCTTTTGTGCACAACTTAGAAAGAAGAAAGTTTTATGTCCCATCACTTATCCTGAGTTTGATATGAAGTGCTACACTTCCATTCTAAAACTACTGTCAGTAAGACTGAGGGTGTTCAGAAAGAAAATAAATTACTCATATCTTTCTGACTGCCTATGGCCTCATTTCTACAACTGAGCAAATACATACTCTGTTGCCTGGTAGTTGCAAAAAAGCCTACCAAAACACACTCCTGCCCAGACGCTTCCACCGATCACAGTCACAAACTCTGGCCAGAACAGTCAGTGGCGTTACATTCTCTAAAAATGACTGATGGTGTCATGCTCTCATTTTGTATCTAGACATCTGTTCAAGCAAAGCCCCATCACATTTCTCTCAGAAAGGTCAGCAGATCTCATGTTACTGGTTTAAAGATCTTTTCGTGATGTGCTGGATTTTTTTTAATTATGTGTATACAGTTTTATATGTATCTTCCTGTAGATATGCTACTCAGAACTGCAGCAGTGACAGAGTACATCATGATGCGCTAGAGCTGAAGGACTGCACCTACATAAACATAGAGTTAGTAATTATAGAGCTTCTAAACCCTCTTGATTTCCCAACTGTAACCACACATGCTTGAAGCCGGTACAGACTGTAATTTTAAGGGTAACTTAGAATGTATTAGTCAAGGCGGAAGAGTTGAAAGTTACATTCCCAAAGATATGTAAATCTAGTAATAGGTAATATGGCTATTTTCTAGCTTTTTAAAAAGTGTATCTAGAACTTACAGAATGGTGTAACTTAAGGGAACTGGATGTCTGAGGACAAGCAGGCAACCAGGAGTTCAGTATGAAATTTAACCAAATGAAATCCAAAGTAAAAACTGTTAGCAAAACCCAATCAAGCAGGTTTACCTTTTCAGAGCTTCAACAGGTCCCTTCTATGAGGAAAGAAGTCACCTCACTGCAGAGGGAAGTGATCATAATGATGCAGTTATCCTCTCCAAAATATAAAATAGCGTAAAAAGCACATTTTACAGTTAAGTGTATTAAAGTGCAAATAGCAAACTGTCTAAAATCTACTATTGAATTGTGTAGTAGAAAACAATGCACTATTGATTAGCCTTATTGAAACACAATGTAACAAATTTGTGGATGTTATGTGCACTATGTGGAAAGACAGAATGGGCAGCACCACTGAACTCACAGCATAGCATCTTAATGACATACGTGGCTAATTTTGAAGGTGATTATGGAGAACCGTGCTTTATCCTGTGCCACTTTTGGATCCTATGCAATCATTAAATATACTAAAATAATTATATTTGTGTCATGTGGCTATGACCTAGTCCACAAGACCTGCAATTTAAATGAATCACTGGGGCACCATGTAAAATCCTGCTTGCTTCAAAGACTTCCACAAAAGGATGCTGTGTCACTGAAAGAAAAAGCAATACAGGAAGCATCCACATATACAACCATTCTCAGACTTCAGGAAGAACCTTCATCTACAACCTTCTTGCTACAAACTGTACCAAGCTTTTCTAACAGAAATCTCTCCAGCTTGTAGATATCCATATGCACTTTATTTCCCATTGCTAATCTGTAGGTGCTGTACAGGTTTAGGCTCAGCAATGTGTAGTACTATGGCAAACATCCTTTAACTGATCACAATTGACCATCCCTTCAGTGTTGAGGCTTGGACACATTTGGAATCTCTAAGATATACAGATAGATCTTGTTTTTAAATTAAAGCCGGAGAATGTAGTATCAACCTCAAAGAGCAGTTAACAATATTTCCCAGTTAAGAAATCTCTTTTAATTATCATATCTCCTGTAGTTCAAATACATTATT